CAAGAAGACCAGCGAATGAGGAACATAATAATATAACTGAGTTTCGGATATAAGATAATAAAAAATATAGCGGAAGAGATATGAGCTAGCTAGTTAGATAGGACACAGGAGAGTAATTGACATATAGTTGATTTTCTAAGCAAAGTACTGAGGGGAATCATATTTCATGCAAACTGGAAGCGGGAGTAATTTTAAATGTAAGATTGAGGTAAGAGGATAAGGCACTATAAAATAGGGAAGAATATAGAGGGCTAGGCACCAGTAGCCTTTAACATAATAGTCGTAGACACAATTCTCTTCATATATATTTTAAATATATGTAACTAGTCCCTAATTATAGCAAATTTTACAGCGTTTTTGACTTAGATAGCAGCAAGCCTTCTGGAAAAACGTTAAACCAATAGTCTGTTGCTGAAGTCATGATGATTATTGTGGGAAGAGAGCGCAGGACTGTGAATGTTGCGAAAATTTTCATTTTTATGTAAAATCTAGGATGTTTTTATGAATACACCTTACTTAAAAATTTTATGGTCCATAGTTCCGATTTTTCACTTGGTAATTTTATACAATCTAAGTACACTAAGTGCTACAACCTATAAAACATAATTTTTCAAATTAAGAATTGTTTTCGTGATTACCAGAAAATCAGTAATATGAATGTATTCACAAAATTTCGTTTAAGGTGATGGAAGACTAGCAGAAGAAGAATTTTTCCACAATGATATGAGTTAAGCTGATGTTACGAATGAATTTCACATAGCCTTGCTTTCCAAAAAAGTTGTTCTTATCTAGAGTAGACTGCAGTTTCGACCTCGCATCGGTCTTATCAACACCCTCAGCAAGAGTCGAACCGCAAAAATGCAGGATGGAAGCTTGACACGCTAAAAACTCGGCTTCAATGCTACGAGCGCGTTTTGGGTCACAGGGCAAATGTAAATTTTCAAGGAAGACTAAGCCTTTTTGCCATATCATACTATTTTAGAGGCAGTGTAACCGAATTTTTAGCATTTCAAGCTTTTATCCTGCACTGTTGCGGTTCGACTCCCGCTGAGGGTGTTAATATGAGCGATGTGAGGTCGAAACTGCCTTTCACCCTGGAAGATAATTTGGGGAAAGCAAGGCTATGTGAAATTTAATAGAAACGTGAACTCAACACATAACGTTGTGAAAAAATCTTTTTTACCAGTCTTTCATCACATTTAACAAAATTGGGTGAATAGATTTCATACTATAAAACTTAATCAGAGTTTCATAAACGTTAAATAAATACACATCCTAAAAATCTCACATTTATGGTAATTTTTGCATTTAAATATGTGAAAAATTATATATATATATTTAAAATCAACTTTACTATGGTTTATTGTAGTAGGCAGATATAATTTATTGGTGTTGATAATGATGATCAAGAGTATCTGATTAAGGGAGCCTAATTCAATTTCCTGGCGTCTCTGGTGTGCTGTCCTTCTCCTCTTTTTTTTATTTTTATACATTGTCATTCATTGTTCATTCTTAATGTGATATATTTCGAGTCTTGTTATTGTAATATTATATTTGGTTATCTGATTACAGCCTTCTGTACACTATGGATTGGACGCATGCTTATGCGGGACAATTAGTATTAAAACCAGAAATATGCGATATCACAGCTGACCAAAGGTTTGTTAATTAAGTATTTCTTAAAATTAATTTAGCCAAAATAATGAAATGGTAGCACTTACGAGTGCTGCTAGTTCCATTGCTAACGTTACTCCCAAATCAGATTCTACACCAAACCCGCCCACAAGGTAATTTTATTTATTTTTAATAGGTTTAGCAATAGTTCTATGTCCCTTGGGCCTGAAAATGAACAAAAAGTAAAGCTTTCTAAAAAGGAGCTAGATCGGCTGACCGGATTGACTGAAGAAGAAGTGAAAGACAAGCAGTTGCCAGATTATCTCAAGGATGGCCTCGATATGGTTATTGTAAGTATATAATTTTAACGATTCCAGGTTGGAATAAATCCTAGTTTGACATCAGCTTATGTTGGGCATTATTATGCTGGTCCGGGAAACCATTTTTGTAAGTAATATTAATTTGATGAAATCTTAGGGACCTGCCTTTATCAATCCGAACTAGTTCCATTGGAAGTAACATGTTATGATGATTCGAAAATGGTTGATTATGGAATCGGGTTTACTAATGTGTGCACTCGCCCGACTAAAGGAGCAGCAGATCTTACTCGTAAAGAGATGAAGGCTGGTGCTGCAATAATGCTTGAAAAAATGAGGCGCTATAAGCCTAGAATTGCAGTTTTTAATGGAAAAGGTATTATTTAAATTAAACTGATACTTTTAAGGTATATATGAAGCATATGTTGGCCATAAAAATTTCAGTATGGGAAAGCAGCCAACATTGCTAGATGGTACAGATACGGTATGTCGTCACAAATTTAATTAAAAATTTCTGAGTATTTGTAATAAATTACATTAAACTTTATTAAATCCAGATTATCTTCGTAATG